TATGTTAGTTGTGCATGTAATTGCAATTTGAATGCACACAATATTTTATTTGAGAGATTATGTATGCCTTCTGTCTGCTTGTACGAGTGTTGCAGATCCGGTGGCGGATTGTAACAGCTTGTGGATTGAATTGTTTGCTGCTTTGTACAGGTAGACTGTCGTGCACTACTTACATGATTTGTGTAAGAAGATTGTAGTGCACTAACGAATCTCCTGCTTTTACCTATAGATGCTGACATCTACTGTGCTTCTTTGGTATACACTCATGATAGCATGTTGTATGCACAACAAGCTTCCTATAACAACTCGTAGAAGTTTGCTTTTGCTATAATCTTTTGACATTCTACTCATAGATGACGTCTAGTGTATATGAGGGGTCTTCTGCAAGGGCCCATAGGAATTTGCTTTTGTTGTTGTCATTTGGCACCCTATTTATAGAGAACATCTTGTATGTATAATGAGTCTCTTGTATTTTGCAGAATATTTGTTATATTTACAATGCATCTACCTTCACTTGCTTGTAAATGGGATCACTGTATGCATTGCAAGACTCTTATCATCACCTCTCTAACTTGTAGGTCAACTGTTGTATATGTGATTAACTTTTGCATGCCATGAATTTTCTACTTTCTTGTTGGAGTTGTTGGTTTAAAGATCTAGAACCTTGTTCTTTAGAATCTTACACTTTTGACCTTGTTGTGCAATCATCAACTTAAGGGTCTAAAAGTCCTCATATCATGGCTTTAAGATCAAGACTTATCTTTCATAATCTTTCGGTTTCTTGTAAACGAGTCATACTTGGAAGTTCTTTATTTTCAAAGATAATTTGCAATTTGTATAATGATATTGATATCAAATTCCTCCATCTTTTCAATCAAGATGATCACTACAAGTTGCTCGTTATTGCTCAAATAAATTCTATTTCAAATCTTGAAATGAATTTGTGTATGAGTCATTTCTTGCTTGAATGAGATTTGGATGGATTGCCCTCCTTAATTAACGTTTGCATTCTCATTAGAATGATAATTCCATAGGAACATTGATTATCCTCCAAATCACGTTCTTCAAAGCTCCTCCTTTGATGTTTATTTGAGTCATTCAACTTGTGTTTATGAATGATTTAGATCTCTTTGGCTAGCATTTTGCATTCAACTTGAGATGACAATTCCTTAACATTCCATTAAAATTTTGATATCATTTTCAAGTCAAGCTCTTTATAATTGTCCCAAGTCACAATCTTGAATCATTGCTCTTTTGCATTTGTTCTAGCTCAAAATGTTGGAGCCTTACTTCAATATTGCTTTGATATTCAAATTTGATTTAAATTGTTACAAATTCAATTAGGCTCAAGTTCATGTCATGTTCCGATCGAGTTCAAGTTCAAATGAAGTCCTCCATATGATCCAATTTGCTTGAGTTCAAATGTACAAGATCATGTTCAAGTTCTTTAGAGTTTATGTTCATTCAAGTTTGAGTCAAATGTTTGCATGTTTAATTAATGTCCATATTGAGCTCAAGTTAAGCTCTAATTTAGGTTCAAATTTTAGTTATTCATTTGAATGCGTCTCTACGAACCCGCTTGTATACGCTTGTAGGTGTATTTTAATTTATTTAAAAAAATTTCTAAGTCATAGGTTCAGTTGAAATTTTTGGCAGCACTCCAGCGTCGTCCCCGCGTAGGGGGCTGCATCGGAGTGTGTAAGGCCTTCCCGCCTGCCAAGAAAGTCAGTCACGGTAGGTTTCGGGTGACGGGTATAGCATTTTCCCCGCCTAAAAACAGTGACGGGTACTTAATTAAATAATTTTTCTACAAATAACAAATTTTCCCGCCTGCTAAAAAAAACAGTCACGGGTACTTAAGTTTCATGCATACGAATTTCCCCGCTCGCTAGAGCGTCACAGGTACTTAAGTTTCCTCGCCCGCTAAAAAAAGCGGTCACGAGTATTTATTTCATGCACAGAAATGTAAATATTAGTTTTTACCTTGGGTGTGCAGTAATCGAGGCGGCGATGGATGACGGCGACTGTGGGAGACCTGCGATGCACAATTTAATTTTTTTTAAATATTTGTGCAATTTAATTAATCATTTATGCTTTTCTTTTATTTAAAATAAAGTGTAGAGAGAGAAAGAAAGGAAGAGAGCTCTCTTTCTAGAGAGAGAAAGAGAGGGAAAGAGAGGATTTTTGGTGGAAGGGGTTTAAGGTGTATAGGAAATTGGGGTAGTGAGGTTAGAGAGATAAAATCTCTCTTTCTCTAATTTTTGGAGAGAGAAAGAGAGAAAGGAAACTCTCTTTCTAGAGAGAGAAAGAGAGGGAAAGATGAAATTTGAAGGGAATTTGCATAGAGAGGGTTTAGGAGGTGTAAGGAAGTGAGAGGAGAGATTTAGAGAGAGAAAATCCATCTCTTCTCAATTTTGGAGAGAGAAAGAGAGTGTAATTTTTTTCTCTCTAGGGAAGGAATTTGGAGGTATGGTGGAGAGAGAAGATGCTTGGGGTGGAGATGGAGCTATTCATGAAGAGATTTCACTCTCATTCTAGAGAGAGAAAATTTTCTCTCTCTAAGTTAGAGAGAGAAAATGAGGGATGGTGAAATTTTCTTATTGGATGGGTGTAGAATGTGTGTAAGAACATTTTTTGTGAAGGGATGTGGGTGGTTTGGTGAGTGGATGGAGAGAAAAAAAATTAGGGTTAGGGCTTTGTAGGTTTGGAGAAAGACAGGTTGGAGGAAGAAGAAGAAGATGAAGGAGAGGAAGGAGAAGAGAGGGGAAGAGAAAAATGGAAGAAAATGAAAGGAAATATTGGGGGATGAAGAGGGAAGTAAGAAAATGGAGAAGAAAAAGAGTAGGGAAGGAGGAAGAAGAAGAATGTAGGAGGAAGAATGGAGAAAGAAGAAGAAGAAGAAGAAAAGAGGAAGAAATTTACCTTGGAGAAGCTTGGAGGGAGGAGGCCGGCCTTGGAGTCATGAGAGAGGCGTGAGGGGCGGCTTGGAGTTGTGAGAATGGCGTGAGTGTGAGAGGAGGGATCGGTTGGGAGAGTATGAGGGAGTGAGGAGGGTTTAAGTGGGTATTTAGGGTATTTTTTGGATTTTTTTATTTAGAAAACTCTTTTTTTTTTTAAAATCCCTCTTTCTCTCCCTCTTTTTCTAAAAAGAATTTTATTATATTGCACAAAATAAAATAAAAAAATTAATCTTGCATCGAGTGAGTCGCCGCGTTGCCGCTCGCACAAGTCGTCTCGATTCGCGCGCCCAAAATTTAAATTTTCACTGGCCGTCGACCCCCACCAATATGGGTGTCGATCTTAGCTGTTTCCGTCTAGACGCATTGGCGCTGTCCGTTTTGCGAACGGAGGTCGTTTCAGCGATTTTTGGTTTTGGGTAGACACACGTCGGGTGAATTATGCGCGATTTCGTGCTTTTTTTTTAATTTCGAAATTCACCTTGCGTGGTCGACTCGATCCCGACACTTGTATTGGGGTCAACAATCGTTCAGTAGCAAATCACTGTCGTGCCTCGATAAGGGTGAACTTTTTCCCCCTCTTTAATTTCCTTCCTGATCTTCTTTGCTTGTAGGTTTTGAATCAAGCATAAGACATTTCGCAATGCTATCTGCCAAAGCTTAGTAAACGTAGGGAATGAGTTATGAGTTCCTATGCATCTACTCTCATTGTTAATTTAGGGATGTTATTGAAAATCCCCTAAATTTGCTTATGTTGAAGTTCTAATTATTTTGTAATCCTAACTATTATCGTGTGATTTGGCCTAAGCGGAGGCATCCCCTCTCTTGTTTTCTATTGTCGTTAAGTGGCTAATGTTTTAATTCTTATTGCTCTTACTTAAAAGCGTGCAAATTCTTATTTCAATCATTTAAAGCATACATAGTCCTACATCATAATGATTTGCTCAAGTGAGCATTTTTAACCTTATCACACTCAAGATTATCGTAAAATGACATTACATTTTAGTTTCCACAGCCTGGCTTAGTCCAAGGTAGCTTAATACTCAAGTACTTCTACCTTAGAAATTTATGTCTTCAACTTGCAAAAATAAGTTGGGAGATGTGTTAAGTTCTCTTTGCTTTATAGTTTTACCTAGTTGTAACAATGCAAGAACTTGTGCACACATTGATGACAGAATTGCGGAGTGAAGATTGTGCTATAACTTTTGATTTCTTCATAGTTTGCGAAGAGAATAATTCAGTGTAGAGGAGGGATTAGGTATGTAAAGAAAAGAGGATTAAAAATAAATCAAAAGAAAGAATGGCTTAAGGGTGGGAGGGAGAAAGGATCTCAGGCTAGGAGAGAGAATTGGCCATGATCAACAAGTAGGGGAGAGAGTGCCAGTGACATCATATCCCTACTTATATTAAGATAACAAATGTCTAGCTTGTTCAGATGACAAATGATTTCTTCTAGCCTGTTCAGATGACAAATGTCCATTTTACCTTTGACAAAAAACATATTGAATGCCAAATAAGGATGATGGCATAAACATGGCACAAAATAATAATGGCAGTACAATGTGTCATTAAAGATCATTATTATGATAAATAACAAGAGTTATTGACATTTTTTATTATTTTTGTGAGTATTTATGTATATGCTAGTGTTTGTACATATATGTAAATAATATATTTCATTAATAATTGTATGTTAATACTCAGGTTAGTGCCAAGTGGGCTTTCTAAACAAATACTTCCCCAAACCTTCATACTATGATTTGTATAGCTCCTGTTGCTCTGATTTAGCTTTGCGCCTTTTCTTTTTTGCAATTAGTTTATGATCCCTGTGTTTTTCCTGTGTAAGACTAAGTTAATACATCCAAGCAAATGGTTGAAAAAACGATTATTTAAAATAGCCTTGTATTTGCATTTGAGTTTCCTTTTTGGATTTAGAAATCTTATCAGCTTTATTGGGTTAATTAATTTAAACTATTTTTTCACTAAATAATGATGTTTGCATTCCAATGAAAATCTGGATGATTTGTATCGTATGTATTATAGTGAAGTTGATGGACTGGGGAGAAGATGGATTTGCTAGGAATGCTGAAACTGTTGCTCTCCGGGAAACATTCCAGAAGGAGGTCGCTGTGTGGCATAAACTTGACCATGCAAATGTAACCAAGGTTAGCTTTCTGGTGACACATATTTAAATTGGTGAAATGCAATAATATATTATCATCTATATTTCTTTCCATACCCTTATTTTGTTGTTTTGTTGAGGGGTTTATATTCATATCTTAAAATTCTTTATGTATTTTTATATCTAATACCAACAATTTTATATTTACTTTTATAACACTCTAGCGTCTAAATCACATCAAAATATATTCATGAAAGAAAGTATTAATAGTAGTGGCATTTAAAGATTAAGGTGTTATATAAGTAAATATAAAATTTTAGGTGCTAGATATGTAAGAATTCATTGGTATGGGTGTAAATTCTCCTATTTATTTTTGTAAGTTTTTTTTTTAATTTTTGCTGCATTGGAAGCACTCTGAGGGTCAAATTGGTTGCTATTTGTTTTAGTTTATCGGCGCAGCAATGGGAACCAATGAACTCAAAATTCCACAGAAGAATCCAACAAGCAATGGCAACAAATCTCTTCCGGCTCGATCATGCTGTGTTGTTGTGGAATATCTTCCTGGCGGGACATTAAAACAATTCCTGATAAGAAACAGTAGGAAGAAGCTTGCTTACAAAACTGTAATAAAATTGGCATTAGATCTTTCTAGGGGGTAAGTGCAGCATTATTATTATGTGAACTATACTGAACATTTGATAGCATCAGTAATAATACAGCAATTTAATTTCTTTCATTGCAGATTGAGTTACCTCCATTCACATAAGATTGTTCATCGTGATGTCAAAACTGAAAATATGTTACTGGATAGGAATGTAAACCTTAAAATTGCTGATTTTGGTGTTGCTCGTGTTGAGGCACAAAACCCCAAGGATATGACTGGTGAAACTGGAACTCTTGGTTATATGGCTCCAGAGGTTAGCGAGTTGTATATACATTTCCTACTAGGCTCATTCATGGCTTATTGAAGTTTCTAGAAGTTTCTAAACTAATATCTAATCTGTAGGTGCTTGATGGTAAGCCTTACAACAGAAAATGTGATGTATACAGCTTCAGCATATGCTTGTGGGAGATTTATTGCTGTGACATGCCATACTGGAATCTTAGCTTTTCTGAAATCTCCTATGCTGTTGTTCGACAGGTTAGTCTACACTGCAGAATAATTGAACTGAATATTGAGCCAGAGTAAGGGAAGGTTTAAATTTCAAGTGCAAAACAAGATGAAATAGAAAATATTAAAATTATTTAAATATTATTTATGGCTTCATAATGATACAAATATGTGATACAAAGTAAAAGAGATCTTATTTCTGAAATATATAACATATAAAAAAAAGAAAGTCTTATATAATTTTAAATTTAAACCCAAATATTTAATAAATTTCTGAATTTATGTTGTTTTATAATTTATGTAATAAATGTAGGCTCTATATTATTTATATCAAGATTATTTTTAGCGGTCTGATTAAAAATGATGGTGATAAATTTGATCATAACAGTAACCAGTTGATTCGATGAAATTGCAACTGGTTCAACAATTCATTGGTCCAACTGCAAGTTCTATCTAATTCTTAGCTGAGCAAAATGGTTTTAACTATGAACTGGTCCAGTCGGGAGACCAGTTCGCATTGGAACCAGCTAGTCTTGGTCCGATTTTCTAAACCATGATAATAACCGTAGTTTGCTCAATCTTTTTATCTCAGATTGAGGAAATTGGCAATCTGATCATGCTTGTTGTCTTGATTTAAGAAAGTTTTTTTTAATATATCATCATTATGAATTGAAGGATTTTAATATTTGGTCTGAATTTGTGACAGAATATGAGGCCAGATATCCCCAGATGTTGTCCAAGTGCATTGGCAAACATTATGAGGAAATGTTGGGATCCATGTCCTGATAATAGGCCTGAAATGGATGAGGTTGTGGGGCTTTTGGAGGCTATCAATACAAGCAAAGGTGGTGGTATGATTCCTGATGACCAAGCCACCAAATGCTTATGCTTATTTTCTTCCAACCTGAGACCATAATTCTCTTTCAGTTCTATACTCTACTCCAGTTGTTTTTTACTGTAAATTATGAGAAGGTTTTTATTTTATTTTTTGTATTTGAATTTTGTTCATTACCTTCAACTCTGATCCTAAATTTTGTTTTCTTATTATATCAGGCAATTTGAATGTTATCATTGTTTCTTCAGCTCTTTATTTTGCTTTCAATGTAATTTATAGTTTTTTTTTGCCAGTCAAGTGGCCGGAAGGACCATTAATTATGTTATGCATTTGCTATTAATGAATATATTTTAATACATTGACATTTTTGGCTAGTAGACTTAAGGTCTGTTTGGAATTGCTACAATGTTTAATAAAATTAATTGTGAAGTTGTTGCGAGGAAAATAATTTTGCTATTTTAATTACGAAATAATTTTTCATCATAGAAATGTGTGAAAAATAGCGAGAATGTAGTTGCAAAATGAAATTGTGATTGTTGTCTAAAAAGTAAAGAAATTAAAACGTTGTTGCAAATAGACCCTTAATCATCTCACTTTATATTATCTCATTTCATTGCTAATAATAGTTGCTGGTTCCTTGTAAGTTTTAATTCTATTTACCTCGTAATAAAGATTGTGGTTACAAGTGAACAAATGCATTTGATGAATGGCTTAGTACTCATTCATATAAGACTCATTTATATTTATTTATCTGCTTAACTAAATAAGCTTTGCTTTAGTCATGGATGTTCTCACTAGACATTTGCAAGAGGTTGTACCCGATAAATGCTTTTTGCTGATGATATTCTTCTTGTTGATAAGACTTGAGAGGGAGTTAAAGGTAAACTTGGATTATCGAGGTCAACCTTAGAGTCTAATGGCTTTCGTTTGAGTAGATCTAAAACTGAATAGATGAAGTATAATTTTAGTAATAATAGATATAGTGGGAAGATTGTGATTTTGGATGATCAAGTCATTAATAGGAGTACACGTTTTGGATATCTTGGGTCTATTGTTTAGAGCGGCTGTGAAATAGATGGGGATATTATTAGTAAAATTCAAGTTGGATGGTTGAAGTGGAGGAATGCATTGGGCTTGTTATGTGATAAAAAAAATCTCTCTCAAACTTAAGGGAAAATTCTATAAGATGGTGGTGAGACCTACAATGCTTTATGGTGCAAATTGTTGGTCATTAAAAGAGAAGCATAATATTAAGTTAAGTGTTGCAGAGATGAGGATGCTCAGGTGGATGAGTGGCTTTACTCTTAGAGACAGAATATAAAATGAGCATATATGTGAAATGGTTGGAGTAGTTACAATGAAAGATAAGATTAGAGAGAGTCGCCTTAGATGATTTGGTCACATAAAACGACGGTCTTCCAATGACTCGATTAGGAAAGTAGATGTACTAAATTTGTTTAGTTAATAATAACTTAATTATTTATTTGATAGCTTACCTTACATTATTGTATTAATTTTTTTATATATTTCACACTTAAAAAATTATGCATATTTTTAGAGGTATATGTATGATTAAAATATCAAATAGTTGATAGATACATATATTTTAATTTTTTATTATTAATAATTAAACTTCACCAAATAAGTTTTTTGTGTGCTACAAAACTCACAACCAGTCCAGCCCTCCTAATATGCTGATCCGCTTCCAATCCTGTGCCCAAGCCACTTTCTAGCCCAACTCCTCCCATCCAACCCGCTCCATACTCTTGATCTGCTTGTCCTCACACCCAGTCAACCCGAGCCAATATGTGCACCAACCCGCATGACCAAACCCAATGTCCGACCCGATGTAGCCCACATGCTCTGACCTCTGACCCTAATCTCCTACCTGACCCGATTTCACTCCCAGCCAGTTGTCAGTTCCTCGTCCGATCAGAGCCGCTCGACTCGATCTACTAATTCATACTCCATTCTTGTCATACCACTTTAGCCCAAACACTCAGCCTCGATCGATGGCAGGTATGCTTGTTTTGAAGAACAAACACCTGATCTTAGATCGACCCGAAATGTATACCCTGCGCCGTCGATCTTAGATTCGATTAGGAATGCGCAAATTGAAGACCCTATGCCATCAATATGAGATTTAGCCAAGAATGATCAAATTGAATCCCTCGCATCGTCAATCTTAGATCCAGACAAGAAGAACTATAGGCCAGTGCCTCCCAACTTCCCTTCGTGGGGAGGAGATGCCGGGAGGCTGCTGAAATTTTGAGCAAAAAAAGAACCCTCAACTTAATTCATTTTAATAAAAAATGTCATTTTAAATTATTTAAGAAAAAAACAACAATAATAATAATAATTAATTATGTGCCGTTTCACGATTAAAAAAAAGTGGAGGGGAAAATGATTTGATTGCTCAAAAATGATTTAACTCGATTTAGAATTGGTTCAATACATATAAAATTAATGAATTTTATGATTCTTTAAGAGTTTGTACTTAAATGCATTGTAAAATTGCTTAGGTCATTCTCAAGTTAAGAATAACAATAATTACACAAATTCATCTCCTATTTTGATTGGTGGTTCCTTCAGATTTTGGGGTTTTTCTTATGTATATGATCTCTTAACCTCAACTCTTAAACTTTAGCATATTTATACCCGCCATTTATTGTTATTAAGAGGATAAAATGTGAAAATGATACTTCTTACATAGTTATTATAAGAAGCTACAATTATAATGGCGAGTGTAGATGGAGCTTCAAATACAAACATTGATTGAGTAGAGTAAATTAAAATCTTAGCCAATAAAGCATTCGAGGACAATAGGTTTTCTCAAGCTATTGATCTAGTTATAGTCATGTTATTAATCCAAATGGGCATAACATTATGAATTGGGAAAATCATGCATTTGCACACATCAAGTTTGAGGAATATGGTAGTGTGAAGCTTCAAAAGTTTTTGTGAAGTAGACCTTAAATATTTGAATGGCTATTATGGTCAAGGCACAATATATATAGTCGTGGGGAAGTTTAAGGAGGCTTTGGAAGGATTATGAGCAGGTTGAGAAGTTTGATAATGATGGCAGTGCTAAGGTTGGGAAAGATCAGGAGATGAAATTATATGTTTACATTGATAAAATGTGGGCTCCAAAAATTCGCGTCCCTGACCTCACTATTGCTTTCGAGGGAGTTTTAACGGATTAAGTTCCGGGGTAAATTTTCAGAAGGCAAATTGGGTTTGTAGATAAGTCACTACCTAGAGATTTCACCCTGATTTTGCAAGCACTTTAGATATGAGTTTTGGTTACCTATAGGAGCAAGACCTTATAGTTAATTACCCCTCCCGATAATGAGAGAACTTTCGATTAAGGTTAGTCATCGCTCAGACACGTAGATAATACATATATCTAGCCTATAGTAGCAGCATGGGTTGAAATAGTTGAAAGTTTAATATTTAAAGGAGGTTGTCGACCCTACCTGACAGAAGGATCATTTTCTACAGCCATGGGTTGAGTCATCCAAGAGTACATTGTAGACTTGGGGTGAGTATTTGTCTAAGGGGATAAATTTGAATCCACCTTAGCTAAGTGAGGGCTTTGTCCTATCGATTATACCCCATTAAATTATATCTCAATAATATAGTGCCATTGGGGGGCTTACGGGCTCTAACCATGACCGTAATTTAGTGGTGCCATTTGGAGGAAAACCACTCAGTCCAGAGGGCCCGATCACAACCGTTTACCTGCAGTGCTATTTGGAGGCAAAACCGTTGCTTAAAGGACACATGCCACGCCCTTACTAACAGGAGACTATTTGAGAATGAATCCTAGGGATATTATCAACCAGGCATAAGCTCTTTATGAGCTGAAATGATATTTAAAATTTTCCATCTCAATAAATTGTTATGGAGGACAGATGGACTTTGCTTTAAGTGATTAATGATTGATTTTAATTTCAAATATTTTTGGATTTTTGGTAGTTTTTGAATTTTTGGGCATTTGGGAATTTGGGAAGCATTTCTTTGAGATGTGTGTGGACCCCATCAGTTGAGATTTTCTATCAATGCAGCCATCATCAGGGTGATTATGAGGAATTGCATTTTATTGTCTAAACCCTATCGACTTTGTTAGTTGCCGACAGAGCATAGGGTTCATGTCGATTGTATCTTTTATTAATGAATTTCTCTTGTTATAGACCTTAAAGGTCTAACATAAACGTATAAAATTAATATCATGATTGGTAACGCAATCATATATTTGTTAGATGATTTGAGTTATGTCGACTTCTATTTACCCGCATAGAAGGATCGGACTCGAACTTGTGTTTATTGTCTAACACGTACATTATCGCTAGATATCGCGTGTGCACCCATAACATGCTTGTCGGGGAACATGTGGGTGTATGATTACATATGCATATCTATGTATTTATGTGTATATATATTATAGTGCATGTGTGGGAGCATTTTTGGAAGTACGACGGTCTACTATGACATCTTACAGAAGTTTGTGTTTGTCATAGTGCTTCAATATTTGCCCATAGGTGAATGTTGGGTGCACAATGTGTCTTCTATAGCGGCCAGTAGGCACTTGCATTTGCTACATGTCGTTCTCTTCTTGTTGTAAAGGGGTCGATGTAATTGCTGGCCATTGAATGATGATTGATTGTAGGGGTGTTGTAGCATCCACAATTTGTTGATCATCACCCTCCTATACATATTATTGTGCATGAGATGCATTTGATAGTAGATTCTTGTATTCACCACGATCTCCTATCTCTTGCCTATAGAGGATCCACCACATTGGTGATGCATTCACCATCGTTGCTTATAGATAGGGTCATTATAAGAATGAAAAGTCCCCCTACAGTAGCTAGTAGCTTGTAGGAACTCATATGTATTATATATTTGTCGTACATATATGTGCATAACATACTGCAAGTATAGCTATGCATGCAAGGGGGTCAATCACATTCATCATACACCACCCTTTATTACTTATAGTTATCCGATGTATTTGCTTGCAATTTAATACTGATTGTAAGCAAATTATGTCCATCACAATATCTTCTAGCATCGGTTATGAGTAATGATATTATGTGCAATTCTAGTCTTTTTATTGTTGCTTTTAAGGGTCTGCATTAATTATAATTCATTGTCTCAGATTATATACAATGCATGTCCTATATCATGTACGGGTCTAATCATTATATTCAATGTACATTGACCCTTTTCTCTTGTAAGAAATTGTCATACTTGCTCGAAGCTAATTGTCATTGGTGATGCAGGTGTTGGTGCATCCATTCGTGGGTCGTTATTAACTGTTTATTGAGC